TAATTTCTTGATTTCATCTTTAAAAAGTTCATTTTGAAGTGTCTTAATTATTCTAGTTTCTGCTTATTGAATCTGTTCAACAGTTATTCGTTCTTTAGGAATAAATTTGTTGCTGCTTGCAGTAACTGGAACACATTGTTTCAGAGATTTATCGAATCTTTATTGACTCCTTTGTCTCTTTGCTGTTGTAATAATTTTAGATAACGAAGACATAGTGCTATAGCTCTTTGCATATGTGTTGCCAGTCAGAGAAACGCTCAACTCGATCTAACAAGGTTTCCGTCGGTTTGTCCAATTCAGTTGCCAACATAACAACCCTTCTAACTTCAGGATCATCTTCAGATAACTCCACTGCATATCGACTGCTCGTTGAGGTTGCTGTTTTCCACTGACTTTCATCTTGCCACAAAAACTCTGGTCCCTTAATCCAAACAGGATTTTTCAGAAGTGTACTTGCAAAAACACCTTGTGATGCTAGATCAGAAACTTGTTAACTGATAGGAACAAAATTGCTCATGCTTTGAATTCGTATTTAATTGGATCTGTTGGACGACTCACTGCATTTGGCTTTCCAAGTACATACCCAATTGTACAGTTATTTAACAATGTATCACTACTTAAGTGCTTACCAATGTGGCTTTCAAAAAAGCCATTCGACCAAGACGGCGGCTATAACTTTTACAGACTCTATTCGTCAAAATATGCACCAAGGTCTTTTGACTGGATCTGTATTTATAGACCTTCGCAAAGGCATTTGATAGCATTAATCAGTCTGTTATTGAATAAATTAACAAAATATGGAATAAACGACCTTGCACTTGAGTGGTTTAACAACTACCTATTACGATGATCACAGGTAGTTTGCTTAGGAAATGTTGTTTTGGAACAGTGTCAGGTATTATCAGGTGTTCCTCAGGGATCTATTTTAGGTCCTTGCTGTTTGTTATATTTGTGAATGATCTTCCATCCGTTTTTTTTTAATTATCAGGTTCTCGTGTATGCAGACGACACTGTGATTTACTACGCATCAAAAACTGTTTCTGAAATCGAACAGATCCTAACCAATGAATTTGTCTGTCTGTGTCAGTGACTGCTGGATAATAGGCAGTGAGATGAGGGTAAAAAATAAGCTTAGAAAACAGACTCCGTACAAATACATAATTTTTACATGAATGGATAGATTAGAACTTACTTAGTTAGAATCCACTTCCCCCCAAGTGAAATAGTTGCACAAATTTAAGTACAACGTCTCCAAAATTCATGCTTGGTCGTATTTCAAAATCCATGACCCGCCATTGTTGTGTTGCAAATACACATGTGCTTGACCACAAAACACTTAATGCGCACGCAGATAACAAAAACTGATCTCAATCCAGAACTGGAGAAACCTGGACAAGAAAAAGTTGTGAAATGTGCGAAAGAAGGGCTGAACTGAAACAAGATGACATCGGAGTGTTTTAAAAATATATGATATTTTTATGTTTTGTGCATTTTAATGTTTTTTCCAAACATTCTGAGCAAATTACCGTGTCAAGCCCTGGCCAGGAACACTTCCAAGTCAACATTACAATAACAACGTATTCAAAATATGATGTTATTTTATACTACAGCAATTGCATGACGTTTGCAAGCGAATCTGTTTTTCAGGCTTTAAATATTATCACAATCCTAAACATTCTAGACCACGCATACCGCAATTTCTCTACCATTTTAATAGGGGGAGGGAGATGTAATTCTAATATATACAAAGAGTCTGTTTTCATGTTTGATTCTCTTTAAATATGCAACATCGGGTACTGTAAATATCAGTAAAATATCATAATTATCTTTCAAATACAATACTTTCATGCTTCACGATTTTATACATTAATTAATTGGTTACAGGAGAAAGGTGTGGCGAATAGGGGTGGGGGGGGCTGCTAAAAAGAGAAATTACGATATACCATAAATATGAGTTTTACTTGGTGTTCACAATCTTATTTATTTTCTAGATCTTTTCCAGTCAATTTTATTAGCCCAGGGTCATTGTTTATTATTTCCTTTGCATCTAATCTAGTTGATAACAATCTTTATTCAGGAGGCATTCTCACAGAAGTGATTTTCAGAATGGACCTGTACTATAGAACTAGTATTATACAAAGTGAAGAATATTATATCTAATCTATTTACATGTGGTCAAAAGTTAAAAATATCATAAATGATCTATCATTACAATAGTATACTTGCTGAACTGGTAAAAGTTTAAAAGTTTAAAAGTTGAGAAGAACAATAGTACATCATGGCCAACAGTCAAAAACTTTGGATTTAAATTGAGATATTGTCTGGGCATTTTGACAATCCGACTCAAGGTTGTTATAGTCATACACAGCATGATAAGTGACTTTATGTTTACCCCAATTTGTCCTTGTCTTGGGTAAATGAAGAAAGCAACTCTGTCGAGTATTATAATTATGAATACTGCTATTATATACTAAATTAAAGTCAAAGTTTATGTGATTATTTAAACATTTAAAAATTAAGGTGCATCGATGGGCACGTCTTCTTTCACTCAGTCGTTTCCATTTTAAAGTTGACAGAGTCTCTGTTGACGAAAAGGAAATTGGTTTGTTCAATATAATTTTTGCTGTACACTCTTCCAAGAAAACATCACACTTTATTAGTGTATTAATAATACGCAATGTCCAACGGCAGAATTTTGTATGTGTGATGATTGTGTTACAAAGTAAAAGGCGTGTCCTGCTAAGGTTATTTTCCTGCTAGTCCTAATATTACTCGTATCGTTTTCTTGTTTTTGTACAGTGGAAACTACTAAAACCATAACGAAAAAAACAGCCTATTTTTAATAAGCCTTGCATTTACAGTTATATTAACAAAATATAAATGCATATTATCATAAAATTGAATATCTATTGATTATATTCTAGTGTTGTTCAAGTTAACCCTGGTCATATTAATGAGCAAACCCGAAAATCTCATGATTTTTCAGTCAATCTCATGACTTTTTAGATAGCAACTCACTATTTCTGCTACTCAAGGGTTGGCAGGTCTGAGTCATGTACATGATGAATAATTTATTATTTCAACAATACATATTCAAATAAACTCAACTAACCTTTAAACAGAGAATCCACTGAAATTTTGCCAATAAACCACAAAACTTTGATGAAATATAAAATATAGCCAAACTACCAAACATGTGGGTAAAACATCAAATACAAACTATCCCTAGTCTTTTTTACGCATGGTTCGAACACCACCTGAGTGCAGAACTAAAGGAGGGGGTACAATTACAGGGTGCTTTTCAAAAATCTGCAAAAAATTCCAGTCTTCTTATCTACTCTTTATTAACTAGGTACATGTTAGGAGAATTTCAATGTCGATCTTTTGAGTAAAATTGTTTACTATGTAATATCTTCTACTTATATTATAAAAGAAATAGAAAAACTCGTCTCGTGCTGAGTGTTTTACATGCTTCTCGAGTATTCTCCCAACATTCCCCGTGTGCATTATCACACCATAAACGCACACAACTCATTTTCTATTTCTTAAATAAAGACAAGCAAAATGGCCCCATAATAAAAAGTAGTTTGGCGGAGTTTCCTGAATACAGTGACACAGAAGCAGATAGTAAGTTTTATGCTATTAAAACATTTTCTACATGTAATCTATACATGGCAAAGAAATAAGTGACTTAACTGTTTGTGGTGGTAATGAAACAAAGGCAGGACAGGATTTTAACTTTCATGATTATGCTGTAGTTTAGAACAGCTATATACTCTTAATGATGAGAAACATGCTTCTCCTAGTTAAACATTTAAGAGGCTGTGTCTGTAAAATCCGGTCACTCGATTTTTGGTTTAAAATTGAGTTGCTCTTATATTTTGTTTAGGAACAATACTTGGAATGGTTATGTCCGAAACGGATTTAATTTGTTTAAATTTTTTGAATCCTCTGATTTTTACGCGATTTTTCGCCAGTGAACTGTAAAAGGTGAAAGTTGCCGTTGTGAGACTCTATTTATAGATCGTTTTTGAGGCCTCCTACAGAGAAAAAAAATTCACTATTTTCTAGTAATATTCAGTCGATGTTTACAGTTATCTGTGATGTTTTAAAAAAAGAAAAATTTGTCTTGACTGTTTTTCTCAAAGTGAGCGACAGGGCCTCATTACAAAGTGGTACTCTCGGACCTGCCGTGAAAGTAAATAAAGTAGCCCTAGTTTGTCGTCAAATTTTCCGTTACTGGGACAAAATTGAAAAATATAGTAATGATAACTTAAAACAGCAAGGTTTGAATAGCCTATAACTGAAACAATATCTGCGGCTAGTATTTTGTAAAGAATGAAATTTCATGCGAAACTTTACTATTTTCACTTACCAGCCGCCAGTACCATAGAATGTCCACAGCTCTGAAAAAGTGTATAATTGCCACTGACAATCAACAGAAATTCACCAGTTCACCTTGAACGACTAAAATGGGACAGTTAGTCTTGAATTCTACCAATCCATGAAGCAACTGTGCTCAAAAATCCCCAGACACATACGATCTTAGTGTTGACAACTCAGTGATATTGTTTACATCGTGGTATTTTACTTCCGCCTCCTGCTTTAATACCAGAAAACGCTTAGAACAATTAAACTGATTTCATTTGGCCGTTGCAGGAGTTGTAGCCATGCTCTTCCAGGTTGAAAATTTTCAACAACTGCAGCGGGGGACAAAATTTTGCCGACTGCAAGCAAAACAGTGAAGCGGCAAACAGGGTTTAAATGTTCAAATTCAACTAAAAAAGACATTCTAACTAAATCTTGTTAGGGTTTATTTCAGAAATTACATGAATCATTTGCATAAGTGGTTGCTTTCTGTTTTGTCAAACTGTATAATATTTAATAACAAATCATGTACGTGTGTTCATTACAGTATTTGAGTGGTGAATCAGGCTTTAAAATTCACAAAGTAAATATCTAAATTAATGTCAATCTAAGTGCGATTCAGTGGTGCTTACAGTTGTTGCATAGAAAAACAACTACATTCTTTTACCAGTTCTTCGATCTTGAGAAGAAGATTTGGTTTCCTGTCACTGGCACCATATTCAACTTCAAAAGCTGTCAGCATTTCCTTTAATAAAGGAACAGTAAATTTGTTCAATTTACGATCAACAAAGTACTTGCAAATATTATAATTATCATACATGATTGGATGCGTTAAACCAATGGCGTTATGGATCGACGACAAGAATTCTTCCTCTATTTCATTTTCAACCTCATTAACATCTTCTTCACTTATGTCTTCAAGAGAATTGTCTAGCATCTGTTTTCTCCTGGATGCAGCAAGTCTCAAGAAAAATCCTTTAATTTGGCTAGCTTTTAGCCATTCCTCTCTTGCAAAAATTCTTTGTCCATCGGTGTGCCTCACTCTCCGCATTTCAGTCTCAATCCCAACAGGATCAGCTTTTTTACCAGTTTCTTGGCCCTCATTAAACTTTGCGATCAGGTAGTCTCTCACATTTTCGGGAAAGCGACGTACCTGAGAATGAAGACGCATGAAGAGCCCATCCTTGAAATAATTCTGTAGACTCACTGAGAATCAGGCTCTCACTTCCAGGTTTTGACTTGCTTGGCAATTTCAAATTTGAAATGTTGCCGAATTTACTTGCCCAGTCTCTTCTAATGGTGTCATACAAACTTTCTGATTCTTCTTACGTATCGTGCTGATGGCTACCAAGGTCAAGATGAACTTCTAATTGATTAAGGGGGTCAAAAGCTTGCTTGCAACCAGGCTGAGGGCATTCATACATCATGTCTGAGGGAACTTGCTGTGCATTCTTATTCTTGATTTGTAATTCACGAATGCTGTTATTTTCAAAAAAATGTTGCCCTTCTACGACCTCAAGTAGTGACGACCTTTCTAGATGACTGGAGAAGAGAAAATCATTCTTGATGAGTTTCCCGTTGCCAATCCCGTAAGCTTTCCATAACCTGATGCCATTACTCTCATACTGAAAGTTATGAATTGTACTACATCCTTTAACTTTCTTTATCACTAAGGAATTTTTCGCTTCGACTATCTTGCCAACGCATGCTGTAGTTCCAGAAACTTTCCTCTCCTTCAAAGCCTTTCTCATATCACTCGCTGTTAAAATGTCATTACCTTCATTACCAAACGTCTTCAAGGCAGACTTCATAGCGCAAATTATCCTGTCGCAGATATCTTTTCCTTGACCTGGCTCAGAGAAATGGTCATTTATTATTTTGAATCCAGTAAGCTTTGAGATGTCCTGGCATGCTGCCATGGTCATGTTGTTGTGATAGCAAGCTCCTTCGTCGGATCGTAAATACGCTCCAGAGATACTTGGGTTTTGAATTCAAAATGTTTTCTACAATCGAGACTACAGCATACCAATCTTGACTTGAGTTGTCAAAGAGATGTGTGAATGACTGTGTGTGCAATTTTCCATCAACCTTGGAGATTACACTACTTATATGCCAGCTCAGGCCTCTCTTTCCGAACCACTGAGACTGTTTTTCACAATACCTGGTCGGCAAAAATTTCATAGCCCAGTCCATTACAATCAACACCGTATTCTCATCAAGCCTCTTTATCATGTCTTCCTTCGCCTTATCTTGATTCACAGATCTAAGAATATGGGTCTTCCACCAAAACACGTCCTCTGAGGCTTCTCGCAGATCATACAGCAAATCTTCTCTCTTTTCTTGGGCATGATCGCCGAAACACCGACTGAAAATCATATTCTCGATCTCTTTTAAGAACATTTTCAAATCTTAGCACTCTATACATTTCATTTCATGTTTGTGGTCACATGGCTTTTGGAAACATTTTTCGTTTACATCGCTGAGTCCAAAGTTCACACAATGATCTTTGCAAGACTGCTTTCCATTGAGCAATGAACAGGATATTTGACTCTGAGGTATAATTTCCCATTTTTCAATCTTTCTTTCGTCTCTTCTGCCCAGGCGCTGTCCACACCAGCTTGTTCAAGATCATTCACTATTCTTTCAATTGTCTGAAATCCCATCACTCCATCAGCAGCAGTATTATCTAATCCTCGCAATGACTTACACTGAGAGGCTTCACATACTTCTAAGATCCTCAACATTGTGCGGCGACAAAGTGGACTAGTAAAGCCTTCTTCTGTACAGTATTTCATGTAGAGGGCTACCATGGTTGATCTGGTGATGATACACGCGGTATTTGGCATTTTTATTCACTCACCGCTCTCCAGTTTTAACTTGCGTACTCCAAAGGCAACGTCCTGGTAAAAGTGCGACCTATTGATAAAGTCAATAAAGTGGTCGAGCTTTGCTGCATCGACTCGCACCCTGTGTGACATTTTAGTCTCTTGGATTGTTCCTGGACCGTGTAGTCTTGCATGAGTACGTGCTTGATTTATCTGCCACTTGGTGACTTTGGCATATGGCTCGTGTAGTCGTATTAGGGTTTTCACTGTATACCTGTATGCATATATGCTTAAAATATGCAGCTTTAGTCTTCGAGTTGGTGCATTCGCATATGCTGTCATGAGAGCATCAAATTAAATATCTACCCGGATGTTTAAATGTTTGCCCAGATTGCATTTTTAACATTATCCGCTAAATCTGCTCGAATTTTCTTGATTTTTGCTAGCATAATGCTATTACATTTAAAAACCAAACCCCCCTGTTGAGGACCTCTGCTTTTGGGGACTTTTATCTCTCTGGAATACAAAAAAATCTGTGTAATAGCCCCTATTGGAAACAGCATTTTTCCCAATTACCGTCTGGAAAAATGCCTAATTACCCCCCTAATTACTTGGACTTAGAAGATTCAATGGATATCAATTTCCGTCTATATTCCGCGGCAGAATTGATTTACCCGCACCGAATACAAAAGTTTTCTACAAAACGGTCTCTTGCAAACGTCTTTTAGTGATAGAGTTTATCATTTCCCAACGCATTATTTGAATATCAACTAATAAAATATAATAATCGCACCTATGTTTAGTAACCGGAACTTGACAAAGATGTACATTTCACTGGTCGCGCCAGAATAATTAATTTGATTGAAAACTATGCAGGCGAAACAAGTACGTCCGCCTCCTCGCACCCATCTCACCCTTACTCGCCCAATAAAGCTAGGGAAAATTCGGACACTACTAAACCACGAAACGGCGAAACGAAACGGCGAAGCGAAACAGCGAAACAACCGAACAAAATAGACAAACAACCGAACGAAACAACTAAACAAATATGGAAATGAACTAAAAAGTATTGAGATAAAACGATGCATGGTTGGTTGGTTGGTTATAAACTACTGTATGTGTAGAGATCTCTATGCTGGTTTCATACATGGACCGGGTTGTGTGTGTGTTAATTTAAACACGCAACAGAAAATGCGACCGAGTCTGAGCATCGACGGGTTTGAGGAACTTTTACTCAGAAATCTCACCTGCGAATTTTAGGGCAGCAAACGAAGGTTTGTGATCAGGCTGTGAGGCTATAATGCAACTGCAACATTAAAAATGTCTGCAAGTATGGAAGGTGAGTGTGGTTTTTGTTCATTTCAAAATGAATTATTCATAACGTTGTAAGTGTTTTTTAGCAAAGTTGCCACACAGGTTAATAGATAACGCTATTTGTTATCAGCTTTTAAGTGTTACTGGATAAGATGGCTAAAACTTTTGTTGATATTTGAAGGATTGAACTATTATAAACGATCAAGCGAATCATTTATATTAAAAATATGGCATCAAAAATGTGTTTTTAACGATAAACTGTATATCATTTCTGTTAAATCTCGAAGATTTTTTCTTCTAGTTCAACTAAAGTCGCCTGATGCCTCTGACTTTGAAGAAGAGTGCATTGTCATTGAGGTACGATTTAATATAAATAACATAAGTACTGTATCAGTCAAATAGTCAATTCCAGCAGTGCCCATCCCCCTGGGGTATTAGCCATTTCTGGAAGGATAATAGCTATGCCCCCACCCCAGCAAAGAAAAAGTGTGCCAAAGCCCAACCCCCGGGCAAAAAAATTGGTTTAAATCCACACTCCTGGGCAATAATATTGACTCATTTGACTGTTTAGTACACATTAATTTGCACATTATAATTCTATGGACAAGATATATGCAAAGTAGAAAATAGATGTTCTACAACAAGAATAAAAATACTTTTATATTAATGCAACAGTATAAATTCTCAACCCTAACTTCAGCACATCTAACTTAAGACTGTCAACTTTTGAACATATTGTCTTTACTTATTAAGGCAGGTTTCGGATGTCGCTGATGGTCGGCAATTCACTCGTGTAGACAAAGGATTTTATTCATCAACGATCAAAGACAATCATTTGATCAATGGTACTTTAGAGCTTTGCCGACCATTGGCGACATATGAAAAACAGGTTTACTTCGGTGCTGTATGTTATTATTTTCCAAACAAAATGTTTGTTGTCCAAACAAAAGATGCAGGTCTACATGACCATATAATTTAAACTTATATAAAGTGTGCGGGGCTGATCGGAGGATTAAATATCTACCCGGATGTTTAAATGTTTGCCCAGATTGCATTTTTAACATTATCCGCTAAATCTGCTAGAATTTTCTTGATTTTTGCTAGCATAATGCTATTACATTTAAAAACCAAACCCCCCTGTTGAGGACCTCTGCTTTTGGGGACTTTTATCTCTCTGGAATACAAAAAAAACTGTGTAATAGCCCCTATTGGAAACAGCATTTTTCCCAATTACCGTCTGGAAAAATGCCTAATTACCCCCCCCTTGGAAATTCAGCTCCTCGACAGGGGGGAGGGGTTGGGTATTAAATGTAACAGCCAATATTTTAGTGCCGTATCTAAACTACTAGCTGTAGGTTTAGTTCTTGGGGCCCCAGACTTCCGAAACCGAGACCCCAAAATGGTTAAATTGTGAAATAATGGTTTTCTAAAAAAATTAGTGTTGTTTTCCGGGAAAAATTTTTGTTTTTCATTATCTTTGAAAAATTTTTAGCCCGCGTGCAGGCCCAAGGGAACTGATAGTGGGCCTGCAAGCAAGGCCCGATATTTTGTAAAACGCCCCTTTTCATAACACGCCCCCATTCGCGCGTCAATTGTCAAAAAAGAACCAATGACAGCACCCAAATATTGACAAACAAACTCGCATTAAAATGTTGCGGGGTTTTCTCTGCTTATTCAGAACATAAACAATGTCTAAATGGCTGCGTTTTAATTTGCCAGTGCTCATTTTCAACTAAAATCGGAACAGGCAAATTAAGACGAATTTCAACAGAAAACCAGTCTCAAACTTCAAATCATGAGGGAAGTCATGCAACCACATCAGCATTTATAATGTGTGCTTCGCTGTCGCCATTGTTATAATTAAATTGTCTCACTTATCAGATTGTGTGTGCAATTCTTGTTGGCGGCGGAAAGTACGAATTTTATTTCAGATCATTTTCTTGAGGAACATATAACGAATCAAGTCTGTTTGAAATTAATGAAACTCAAGTAAAGGTTACTATACTCTATAGTTTACCCCAGTCGTAATGTTGCTATTCCAACACCTCACGACAAGCAATCCCCATTGGCATAACGGCAAAAACATATCTTCCTTCACGTAAACAATAAACAGTCTGTTCTTGTTCCATTTGTAATCGAAAAAAGTGATCAATTTACGAATTTTAAGCTTATCGAGAGCCTTTGTCTATGCCTTTGTGATGAATCACTGACCTAATTATAGAATCCAACAGCAAACAGCCAATCAGAATGCTGCGTTCGTGGGCGAACGCGGAAAGTACAAAATACCGGGCCTTGCTTGCAGGCCCACTATCAGTTCCCTTAGGCCTGCATGCGGGCTAAAAAATTTTAAGCTTCTGTTGTCCAAGAAATGTTTTTAAGGTATTTTCTTCAGAGAAAACTTTTTATGGTTAGGGACCGGTCATAAAGTAAAAGGGGGGTGGGGGGAGGGGCGGGGATGTCCTGTGAAAATAATATATTTGGTGTCTGCACTTTTGGTAGCCCACCCCTTAATTAGCTGCACAAAAATTTGTGGCCCACCCTTAAATTGGTGCTGAAAAATTATGACCCACCCTTTCAGAAACGCGAAAGATTAAGCGTTCTATTTCTCTGTTGCCAAATAATCTGTGTTACAATACTCAATAGCTATTCAAATGGTGCAATTAAAATTCAGGGCCTCTTTTAAGGATGCGTGACTGGAGAGGACCTGGGGAAGTTCCAGTCGGCAAATCTGTATCACTGCAGCTACGAGCATATATATGCATGGTTTAACTAATAAGTATACGTCATAGGGCAACAGATCAGACCGTAACTAGGATTCTGAGACAACTGAGTCGACCACCCTGGGGGCATACCCTCCAGAAAATGTTGGATTTCTTGAAGCTCAGATAAGCTATTTCCCGCATTTTTGAGGAGTTTTCCAACAAGAAATTAACCTTATAAACAGTGACACAATTACTGCAATTTCAAATGTAATCCAGTCCCAATAAGGCAGTATCGTTGTCATAATTAGAGACCTTTAGTTTGACATTTACAACTAACGCCAAACTGCTAACGGTGATTGTGATTTAACTACGCTCTTGTAGAAATTACACTAATTTTGTTACATAATACACATCCTACACAAAGCTAGTGACATTTAGCAATAATGATTATCAGAAAATTAGTTAGCCACTACCAACGTATTAGCCAAGACAGTAAATTCAGGTTTTAAGTTTGAGGTTAACGTTTGCGGTATAAATTTTACACATGGATCCTGATACGTTTTATTTCTATTTTTATAATATGAATTTTAATACACATGCCCTTGAAAAAATTTCTGCATATTTTTACATGGCCCACCCTTATGATTGCACTTAAATTTCGATGACCCACCCCTTCAACCGTGCTCAAAAATAGTGACCCACCTCCCTATTTTTCCCAGCCCACCCCCCTTTTACTTTATGACCAGTCCCTTATGTTTTCGGGGAGGGGGATTTTGGAACCCCCCTCCCCAACATTTTCGGGAAAAATCCAAGGGGCCCCAAATTATCGGAATTGGGGGCCCAAATGTTAGTTTTCACCCAAAGATACAGTATGTCTGCAAGTAGCATTAGCATATTGTTAATATAAGATTTGACAAAAACTGCAAATAATAATATTTAATAGAAATACTGTGCCCCAAACATTGATCGTTTGAAACCAGTATGCCCCCACCTCAGGCATACCTTTGGGTATTACCCGGACCTGGTCACCAAAGCAGTAAAAGCAGGTGTATTCCAAGTTCACCAAAAATAGCAAAATGGTGAAAATTTACCTATGCCCCAGGAATGTTGGGTGTGTGTGTGTTAACTGACTGGTAAACACAGCAATTGAATGTGATACTAGACCACCTCAAGGGTTTTTTATAGAGAAACCTGGACACTTAATAGTTATAACAGGTCAGATTTTTCTGGACATAAATTGAAAATCACAGGTGTTTATATGGCGTATTTGATTTATTTGACCCATTGAGTGGCAGCACTTTCCCCCTGAGGAGTAAAATTGGCTGGTGTTAGACAAAGTAAAATAATAAAGTAGGGCACATGCATCTGGGCACATTTCCACTTAAAGAGTTATTGAACCAGGCAGGCCATGTTTCAAATTAATGTGTTATAATAATAATTCATTTCAGGCAGAACATAATGATGTATTAGACCTTAAAAAGGTAAATGGCTCAATAAAACCAGAAGTCATTGACCTAACAACAAGTCCAATGAAATCAAGCACTAAGACGTGGCATTCAGTGGATAGTATGGCAGACAGTGATGATGAAATGTTCTCTAGATTACCTGACTCTGAATCTGAGGAAGAAGAATATAAGAAGGATGTAGATGACTTCTACTTTAACAACCCAAAATGGCCTGTATGGAGCCGCAATAGCGAGGGGCTTCCATGTGAAGAACTTATCAAACTTATTTTGCAGGATTCAGCCAAACAACCTGCAAGCATATGCAAAAGCCGTCCTGTAGCTGTTCGCCATAATGCTGTATTTGTTGTTGATTTGGATAGTGTTCCCTTAAAAAACTTAACAGCTGATGACAATGGCTCATGGAGCATATCTACCCCAAGAAGGATGTACCAAGTTAAACACAGTAATACAGGCAATATTCTCTCTATAAAGAAGACCGATACGGTTAGTAGTGACACATACACATTATTTCGTCAATATGCCACTCACAAGGCCACAAAGCGAGAAAAGGATGTTGAATTCAAGCGTGTCGTTGCTACAATTAAGAACATGTCCACGGGACATGTTCTTCCCATTGCCGTTTTGCATTACTTCTTCAAAGATTGCCCTGAGCAAGATATTGTGCTTGCTCCACATGGAAATGCACGAGGAACATGCAAGAGGCCATATATGAGAACAGAACCATCCACATTACAAAGCATAAAAGAAGATTGTCATAACAAGAAACCCAAAAAACTTTATGGTGAAACATTTAAGTCAAGTGGAGGCCTGTTAGAAAGTGGTAGCACATCTACTGAACCACGAAACTGAAAACAAGTGTATAATGCTCGATCTAACACAAGAACAGATAGTGGTGAAAAGGATGAGATATTTCAGTTACTAACACAGCTGAAGGATGACTATGCTGGAGAAGGAGGGTTTGTTCACGAAGTTAAATTTGGGAAGACGCCAGAAGTTGTTGTTAGCTTTGAACAACAACTGGATGACCTGGTGCGGTTCTGTTGTAATCCCAAGCAGTTTTCTGTTCTGGGTATTGATCCAACATTCAGTTTGGGCAAGTTTTTCGTTACAGTGACCACTTACAAACATTTAATGTTAAGGAAAAAGTCCACCAATACGCACCCTGTTTTCATCGGACCTTGCTTTATCCATATGCAACAGGAAACGCAGACATATTACTCATTTCTGTCTTGTTTCCGTGGAAAGAAGGATGCTTTACGTGACCTGAAAGCCTATGGATCAGATGGAGAAGTGTCTCTGTTAAATGCACTAATTGCAGCATTTCCAGATGCCATTGGTTTGAGATGCTTTATTCATATGAAAGATAACATTGAAAACCACCTGCAAAACAAACTGCATGTTAAAGCAGAAGTGAAATCTGCAATAATTCATGACATATTTGGCCATGTTGTTGGTGACACAAAGTTAGGAATTATTTGTAGCTTTATATTACTTTATGGAAGTCACACGCTCACTACTTAACCCCAGCCTCTTTTGGTGCCCGCCATCCAATTACCACTGGAAAACAATAAGCCCCCTGGGAGCTAAATGGGGGAAGTATATTATATTGGAGGAAGTACTTTATATTTACTGCCATGATCATGATGTCTTGACACACTGCAATTTGTCGGGATAATTTCAGATGCATATATATTAATGCTTTAGAAAAATACGTGGCAAACGTCATCAGACCAATCAAAATCCGTCACTAACATTCATTCACCGACACCTCCAGTAAAACTGTAAAAAAATCGTAGCATGTAAATGTACTGTACCTTAGCGCTCATTTTTTTGGAGCATTACTGTTTACTGGAGCGTTCATTTTTCAAATATATAATACCAGGCCTGCAAATTAGTGCCAGTCATCGGACATTGTCCGACCAAATTTTACCTTTTGTCCGATCAAAGTTTTTTTTATGATTGGACATGTAACCGACCGATTTAGGCTCGTCAAATGTCTGATCTCAAAAAATCGATTTCGAACACAATTTCATGAAAACAAAGCAATATAAAGGACACTCTTCCGTTATTTCTTGGCTGCATTAAGCCGTAAGATATATACACACACACACACACACACACACATAATAGCCTGTAATAGTGTACACCAAAATTGTAGGTGTCAGGCCCATTTACACTACGCACAATTTATTACTGTACATACATGTAGGGCTCATCCAAATTTACTGATACTGTGACCATGTAACTAAGGTACAGTAGTCCTATTTTAATTTGGTGCGAGTATCGCGTAAAAACTGGCATGTAGCTACATGTACTGTAGTCAGTGTATTAACTGACGGCATATACAGTTACATGTATACCGAAATATATAATTTATTTCAACTGTCAACGATTTCCAAGCGTCAATTTATTGATACAGCATGTCCAGGGAAACAAAGCTGGATGATATTTAATACATCGTTTCATACTGTACCTGATCTTCACCTCTGTAACATGCATATAGCACTTTATACACATTTATTTATTTTATGACTCTTGCATTACCGGTTTGAGGGAAGATTTTTTACTTGGATTAAAATTACATTTAGAGATTTTGGGACGCAATGAATTTGGCACACACTAAAATACGAACTGATTTTGTGGATCTCTTTTTATAGATATTGGGATTAGTGGATTCTGTTGACTGCAACCAGTTTGACAAAAGGACAGCCCAGTTGGAGGAGAAGTGGAATCGTATTGGTCCCGGTTTCCATGTTTGGTTTCTGCCACAAAAAGCGGAAGTCTTCAAGAAGAGCATGATTGCGCCCATACGCAAAGGTGTGCAATTGGGATCACCTCCAAAGAATTACACTGACAACGCAAATGAAAGCACAAACTTTGTTCTCAAAGACTGGGTGGATTTTTCCAAGAATGATATACCAACCTTCATCGCTGAGCTGAGGTCCTTTACCCAGCAAAACCTTGCTGAAGCTGAATGGGCTGTTTATGGTGCTGGAGAATTCTGCCTGGCTGAGGATTTCAAATATTTAGAGGCATGCAAAAATAGAAATATCCTTAATATTTTGGTTCAGTTTGTGGAAACACCGCATATATTTATGTTCATATTAAAATATTGTAATAGACGATTGCCATTATAGACTAATTTTTTATCTTGTAAAAAAAAAGATATATTCCCGGAAAGAGCATAGGCTACTACAGTAAAATGAGTAAAATTGCAAACTTTGGTTGCGAAATGTTGTAAAATGCGGAAAATATAGCCTTGCAAAGTTTTGTATACTTTTGTATTGCGTGCGGGAATGTCTACCACAGTTGGGCTAAAAGTGGTAGCAATTCCCGCATGCAATACAAAAGTATACAAAATTTGCAAGGCTATATAATAAAGTTATGTGGTGTTTCCACGACCACAAACCAATTAAGAGAGTTAGGTAATATCCTTATCCTCAAAAGTCCTTTATAAAAAGGTTGACGTCAGCAGGCTTGTGACGTAATTTGCGGAGAAAATCCCTAAAGCTCAGAGTTGTTTACTTGTTTTGAGTTTTTTAAAAGTCAAAGCAAGCCTGTATTATGGTAAGTTTGAAGCAATTTAACTAATATTATTTATTTGTTTTTATATCAGATTGTACATTATTTTCAGTACTGTCATGAACATTTAGCAAATTGTTCACTCGGTTTGTTAACGTCTTACTGTATTTTGCGAAACGAAACTTTGCGAAACTGTATTTTGCGAAACTGTATTTTGCGAAACTGCATTTTGCGAAACTGTATTTTGCGAAACTGCATTTTGCGAAACTGTATTTTGCGAAACTGTATTTTGCGAAACTATATTGTGTGATGATTCTGCTCGTAGAGTTGGCAAACATTTGTTTATAAAGACTGAAAATAAATCAAAGACAAAGTGCAGTACGTTGCTTTGAATGCTTTTACATGGAACTTTATACATGTACATAGAAAATGGTGTGGATTGATTTTGAAAGAAAATATGGCGACACCACCATAGAGATTATAAATAACACTAGAGGGGGGCCAGGGGCATCGTAATCTTAATTCAAAGGAAGGGAACGCGTCTATTGGGGGGCAAAAAATTAAAATGCTAAAATAAGAGAGAGTTTGAGCCAATATATCTAAATTCTTGTTTATGGCAGTTAACTGAGTTCTGTTTTGATTTTTACCAAGCTTTTTACCACAATTTTGTTTATAACACATTTCAAACAGTGTTCCAAAATAATGCTGATATCAGTAATGTTGATATTTTCAAGAGAAATTAATTGTTTGAATTCAAAATTTTGGGGGAATGTTTGTAATAATGACATGCAAAGCATATAAAACACCCAGTTTTGTGACTCTTGTTTTAAATTTTTCTGGTTTCAAGTGCAACCCAAAACTTGTGTGGTGTTTACTATTCGTGATTTCAATCCCCCCCGCGCTCCCAAATTTCACCCTCGATTCCCCCTCTATCATTATTTATCTATCCCGGCCAACTCTACTAGCAGAATCATGACCAAATACAGTTTCGCAAAATACAGTTTCGCAAAATACAGTTTCGCAAAATACAGTTTCGCAAAATACAGTTTCGCAAAATGCAGTTTCGCAAAATGCAGTTTCGCAAAATACAGTTTCGCAAAATACAGTTTTGCAAAGTTTCGTTTCGCAAAATACAGTAAGCCTTTGTTAACATATATTTCGTTGCTAAAAAGTATAATTTTTCTTTTTTGTTTCTCAAATTCATCAGTCTAATAATCAGAATGGCCCCAATCAAGCTGTAGACAGCAATATACACAGGCTCACTGGTCATGCAAAGAGGTACATAAGTGAACTTAGACTCTGAATACAGTACATCTTGTACACAATGACTCGTATTAAGACTGATAAGTCTACTATTTTTATCGATATATAGTTGACAGAAAAGGACATACCCGGGTCAAAAATTGGCAAGGATATTGAAAATAAAGTTTCTGAAACGTTCTCTGATCGTAAATTTTTTATTTGAAACACAAGCTTTCGACTGCCAGTCTGCAGTCTTCGACAGGTAAAGTGATAATAAACTATTCTATACGGATATAGCTACAAGGACAGTGGTTTACAATTACAATTATAATGACATGCAATATAACAATGATTAGTTCCGCCTACGTAAACTCTCAGTGAAACGAGTATACTTATAAATATAAAACTATGTCTATGATCTGTTCTTTTTTAATAAAAATCTATATTGTTCTGGTAAATGTTGTGCATTGTTGTCAGAATTGGCTGTGGTTGCTGTATGCCAGGACTCCATTGTTGCTCTGTGTCGATAGGTTGCCTTGTCTAAGATTTCGCACTCATCAAAGTTGATTTTATGGTCCTGAGTCCAAGCATGTTTTGCTATGTTTGAGCCGGATTTCCATTGTTTCACGTTTCTTTTATGTTCCTTTTTTCTCGTTTCGAGAGCTCTACCAGTCTCACCTATGTACCTCCAGGAGCAGTCTGCGCAATTAATCTTGTACACGATGTTGGTCTGTTTTTCGGGAAGTGGTCTGTCCTTTGGTGACGGAAAGCCTTGTTCTAATGTTCGGAGTGGTTTCGTTGTTGTTCTGATGTTGTATCGTTTGAGTAGTCTTTTCAGGGGTTCCGTTGAGCCGTTAATGTAAGCGAGGACTGCGTAGCTGGAATTTTTCTCTGGTTCGACATTTTCGAAAAACATACGTACAAGTTCTTCGGGTGATGGCACGAATTCTGTTTTCCTTGCACGTCTCTTCTCGACTTCGTCCAGAAATATTATAGGATACCCATTACTTCTCAGAGCGACAAAAACACGATCTTTCTCTTGTTGCTTGCCTTCGTTCGTGTTAGGGAGATGGGCTTCTCGGTGAAGGAGTGTTTGCGCTGCGCTGATCTTGTGTTGTTTGTCATGATGTGAGTTGTAGTCTATAGGTATCTGTCAGTGTGTGTAGGTTTACTGTAGACGTTAACGTTGAGACACCCGTTGTTACGGGTTACCATTGTGTCTAAGAATGAAAGTTGTCCGTTTTGTTCTTGTTCAATAGTGAAGTTTATGTGTGGGCCAATGGCATTCAGTAAATTGTGGAAATTAGTGATAGCATTTTTTTTGATGATTGAAAAAACATCATCCACAAAGCGAAACCATTTTTTAGGTGGCGTGTCGGTTCGGTTAAAGGCTAGTTCCTCGATTTCCTCCATACAGAGGTTTGCCACAATAGGGCTAACGGGACTGCCCATAGCGCAACCGTGAATCTGTTTGTACGACGTCTCGTTATTATAGTTGAAATAGCTGTTTGACAAAGTAAAGCGTAAGGCCCGGTTTAGACGGCGAACTTTTCATGCGCCGAATCTAATGTAAGGATTAAGTGCGGCGCTGGGATGGCGTCTAAATCAATTAAGTTCGACAGGTTTTAATTAAGTTCGACATGACTCGAAGATGGGACAAGACAAGTCGTATATGCGACACAAGT